GTCCTCCACAACTAGACTGAAGAACAAAAGGACAGCAACTTGTCTGTTCCCCTCCCCCGACTCCCCAATGCTGTTCCCCTCCCCCATTCCCCAATAAAATCTTTAAAAAAAGAAAAACTTGAAAAATCCAAATAAAATCTATAGTTTAGTAGACAACATATTAATTACATTGTACCAATATTAATTTCTTAGCTTCTTAGTGTACAGCATGGCATAGGAGCACAAATCTAAAAGTCTGAATAACTGAGTATTTGCCTAGTATTCAACTGAGTATTCACAAGAGTATTCAACTAGCTGAGTGAGTTCTCTAAACCTAGATTTCTTCATCCATAATAATCCCTGCCTAGTCTTCTTCACAGGATTCTAAAGAAGATTAAATAAGATCATGTATGCGATAGTACTCTGGAAGCAATCCAGTGCCTCACAAATATACATGGTCATCACCTTTAACAAGTAATCTGTCAGTGAATGCTGCTGAGGGGAGAAAACTAAGTTACATAACTGTACAATTCCTATACTAAAAATGAAATAAGCCAATAAAATGGACAACTCCTAAAAACATACAAATTACCAAAACTGACTCAAGATAAAATAGAAAATCTGAGGGCCGAATGGCTCAGTTGGTTAAGAATGTGAGCTCTAAGCAACAGTGTCACAGGTTCGATTCCCACATGGGCCAGTGAGCTGCACCCGAGCTGAGCTGCCACTGAGCAGGATGGCTCAGCTGGTGAGAACACATGCTCCTAACAACAAGACTGCCAGCTCGACTCCCACATGGGGTGGGCTATGCCCACCCACAACTAAGATTGAACACAGCACCTTGAGCTGAGCGGTCATGAGCTGCCGACAGGTGGTCGGATGGCGACTGGACTCGGAGCTGAGCTAGCCGCGCCCTCCACAATTAAGATTAAAGGACAACAACTTGGCTGTTTCCCTTCCCCAATTCCCCAATAAAATCTTAAAAAAGAAAATACCTGTAACAAAATAATGAATCAGAAGTTAAAAAACCTCCAAACAAAAAAAAGTCAAGTACCAGATGTCTTCAACGGTGAATTCTACCAAACATTTAAAGAATTCAAAACAATCTTTCTCCAACTCTTCCGAAATACAGAAGAGGAGAAAAAACTTCCTAACTCATTCTGTGAGTTACCCTGATATGAGAGCCAGACACACATCACAAGAAAACTACAGACCAATATCTGTTACGAATATAGATGCAAAAATTCTCAACAAAATACTAGCAACCCAAACTTAACAGCACATTAAAAGTTAGACACCATGCCAAGTGGGATTTATCTCAGGAATGCAAGGGTAGTTCAAAGGAAATCAATCAATGCAATACACTGTTAATGTAATGAAAGGAAGAAAAACCACACGATCATCTCAATTGACACAGAAAAAGCATTTGACAGAATTCAACATTTTCATGATAAAAATACTAAGAAAACTAGAAATAGAAGGGAACTTCTTCAACTTGACAGAGAATTTATGAAAACCCACACGTAGCATGATATTCAATGATGAAAGGGTAAAAGCTTCCCCTCCTAAGACTGGGAACAAGACAAGGATATCTGCTTTTATCACTGTCATTCTATAATTNTGTCAAGAGCCACCGTGAGTGGCCGTCCAATGGCCTGCGACAGATCTGCCTCACCCAGGAAGAGCACAATGATAATACCAACATGGGGCAGGCAGTGAAGCAACGTCCTCCACTACTAGACTGAAGAACAAAAGAACAGCAACTTGTCTGTTCCCCTTCCCCGATTCCCCAATAAAAAAAAATCTTAAAAAAAGAAATCTGCTTTAATTTTGTATATATTTTACATACATTTTCCACTCTTATTCCCTTCCCTCCTTCTTTGGTGATTTCTTTTACTGTGGATAAAATATACACAATACAAAATTTACCATCTTGAGGTTAGTGAACATGTCAAGATTCAGGGAGGACGGTGCAGTTGGAGAGGGCATGGGTGCCCTATCCCCCTCCCCCATACCTTGCCCTGTGCATCTTTTCCATCTGGCTATTCCTGAGTTATAAAGGATATATGAAGACTTGCCACTACAGAAAATTCAAGTACGTACTTCTTGAGGAAATAAAAGACAGAGGACAGTCCTCCTTTCTTTGTCCTCTACCTCTAGTCCCTTCCCCTCTCACAAGTAACCATTTGCATGTTTTTGTTCCCTTTTCTCTGTGATATTGTGATTTATAAGAAACATCTATTTTTATCTTCAACCCCCTGCCTGGCACAGAGCTCCTAAGACCCTTGGAATTTCCTAAGTGATAAAGTAATAAAGGTCTCTTTCATTACGTTAAAAAAAATTTACCACCTTACTCATTTTTAAATGTACAGTTCAGTTACATTAAGTACTCACAGAGTTGTACAATCATCACCACCATCCATCTCCAGAACTTTTTCATCTTCCCAAACAGCTCTGTACCCATTAAAATATCCACTCATTTTAACTTTGATTATCAAATCCTTTATTCCTTCCTTTTGCATATTTTGAACTTATATTTGAGGGGTGTATTTATATTGCCCTATATAAACCTTATTTGTTCTACTCTTTTTCCCTCTACAATTTCTCCCCCTCTGCTCATCTTTTAATCCTTGTTCTAATTTCCAAGCTTTAATCTCCACTACACATCCTCCCTCTCCCCCCCAGCCCCATGCAACAGTGTGCACACGCGTGCGTGCACACATGCGCGCGCGCGCGCGCGCACACACACACTATAAAACTCATTCCATCTGACAAATGAGAGGAATACTACCAGCCCCTTGCCCCAGAAGAAGGTTGCTAATCTCAAGTCATCAGGAAGCCCACGAGGTCCACGGGATGCCTCACGCACCTGGAGTAGACAGCTTCTCCACGACAATACCCAATGATCGCCGCTGTCTCAGGATAGATGGCCTCATACTTCAGGAGATGCCTCTTCAGGGCGTACAGAGGGTGGTTCTTATATGTGCCAATGACAGTGGGCAAAGGCTGGCCCAGGTGCTTTGCCTGAAACTGCAAAGGCCAGAGACACAATGTTAAGCATGTGGTTTAGATAATGAAGTGAGGTATGAGATGGGTGGTTCTCAGACCACTTGTTAGGATAACAGACGGAGCAGAGGTTTCATGAGCACCATGCCTGTGACATTATTTGTAGCTCTGGTGTTAAGTAGGTTTTAGATAAATTGAAAGCTATGAAGAATCAAGTAATTCTGTGGCTTGTGGCAACTTCGGAAAGATCTAACCTATTCCCAGCCCTTAAGACACCTTAACCAGCCCTAGCAGATCCGTGCCTGCTCTATTAGAGAGCTTCAAGGAAGAAAAACATAGGGCTTTCTTCAGGAAGGTGGCCTTATCTCAAAGCGACATCACTATAGTGCAATGTGGGTTACCTTGACTGCTCTCACAGGAAACCAAAATGAGCTGTTCACACCCTGTGACTTCTTTTTAGTCCACTATAATTAACACACGTTCTCTTAGCACTTCTTTAAGGATTCTGATTTCTCAGCAGGCAATCCCACTGCTGTAATTCACATTCTATTTACCAAGGTCTGCTAAGGTTTTCTTTAGCATCTCTTGAACCTCCTCCTCCCCAATATTTTAGTGAGGACTGGCAATGTGCGGTAGCTGTGGTAGGATGGACCCTCCACGTGGTCAGCTTCCAGTACAAAAACTTTAATTAGGTTAGTGACGATACCATCTGTACAATTCCCACTTAACTCTGCCATTTTGAAGTAAAATGGCAACACCCCCAGAGCAAACTCTCAATGCAGGCTCAACTGTACTGCTACAGGGAATGCCAATTAAACCCAAGCTTCACTTATCCTGAGGAACTGGGAATGATTCTCTGGCAAATCTGGGCATGTTTCCGTGTGGAAATGCCGAGATCCACTTAACACCACAATTGTCCTGCACGTGCAGCTCAGGCCCTCCTTCTGGGACCAAGTGACACACCATGTTCTGTTTTAAACTTTGGGTTAGCCCAGTGTGCCTTCTCAATAGGCTGAAAATATTTTCTCATCTCGAGTCCCTTCCTTCCCAGGAAATAAGTGTTCTAGATCTAAATCCATGGAGGGCTGTATGTGTATGTGCTTGTGGGTGTGCACGATGAGAAGAGGGAAACCATTCTATTAATGAGTTTTTCTTCTTTCACTCTGTATGACTTACATGACTTGCACAGGTTATTTTAAAGCTCCAAATTTATAACTGGGCAATAACTAAAGGTATATAGACTTCAAAGCCAGGTAGACCTGGTTTCAAATGCCAAGCCAGCTAATCTCTTGGATCTTAAATTTTTAACTGGTAAAATTAAGGCAATAATAATCCCAGCTTTATAGTACTGTGATAACTAATGAGATAAACACTAAAAATACCCAGCACAGGGCTGGGCTGCGCACACCTAAGGTGTTCAAAAAATGGGAATAATTTTAAAAATTTGACTGGGTCTTCAAGTCCGTGGCAGCAGAGGCCTTACCTCCAAGTCTTCTTTCTTCTCCCTGTCCACCAGTGGGCTCTGATAGGGTCTCAAGGTTTCAGCCCACCACTTGGCATCAACCCGGCACTTGCGGGTCACTGTCATCCAAGATGGGTCATACCTCTGGGTGACATCCCGGACCCAGCCATTATTGTCAATGCCCACGACGTAGGTCATGGGCTTGGTGGCGTATCTGTAACATGTCAGAGGCTGACCCACCACACCGTGCACACAGTCCACACACATCCACTTTTCTTCCTGCTCACAGAACACCTCTAGCCACTGGTTTACACCCGCTGCTTTTCCTCCTTCTGCCTGCTCACCATCACTGGATGTTTTCTTGCTTCTCTTACTCTTACTGCTTGAAGAGCTTCTGGATGCCGCTGGGTGCTTAGGGTGGCTTCCACGTTGGGTCCTGGAGTCACTTTTGGGCCCTGTCTTTGTCCTCTGAGGGGCCTTCCTCTGTCTCGAAGGTCCAGGCTCAGAATCCTCATCTGATGGATGATGGGCTTCCCCACCAGAGAGCTCAAAGTCAGAGCCGTTGCTGGCCTTGTCACTCGCACTCTCCTCTTTGTAAGACACCCTGGAGGCCACCCGCCGCTCCCGGCCACGTGCAGGTCTCTGGATTTCCTTCTCCTGCTCTCCTGCCTTGCCCTCTTCTTCCTCACTGGAGGAGGGCTCTCTCCGTTTCTTCCCAACAGCAGCTGCTTTGCCCCTCCTCCCTTTGGCACTTGGACTGCCAGTGCCCTTAGAAGAGGTGTCCTCTTGTCTGATTTCGCTGCTGGTGTTTGGTTTCGTGTGGTTTTCTGACACTTGGCTGGAAGTTTCTGAGGAGCCTCCAGGACCCTCTGTGGATCTCTCTTTAGATGGTTTCTTCCCCTTAAACAGAATAGAAATTTTGTTTTTTCTTTTTTGCTAATATTAGGATAGAGATCCTGTAATCTAACAGGGCTAAGTCACTGGCTAGAGAACCAGCGTACACAAGATGTCCCCAGGTTAGACAGTGATCGGCTGGCTATCCTTTTGGGTTATAAGAAAATATTCACTAAAATCTACAGCACCTTTGATAAGGCCACAGTATAATTCTCTTTAAAGTGTGGCACAGGGGAGAGAGCACAGGATGTGGAAACCGGCAAATCTGGGTTCAAAGTTCTGTTTCTAATGTTATGTGATTTAAATACATTATATAACCTCTGAGCCTCAGTGTCCTCAGCAACAATAATACCTACCTTGCATATAAGGTAGTTTGCGAACAAATACTGATGGACTTAATAAAGCTATAGTATCAAGAGTACAGAAATTATTGAAATTAATTTCTGGACCATCAAGTTTCAGACAATGCCAACACCTCAGTGAGTACAGTGTTCAGCCTCCTTCTAAGATGATCACAGAATTCAGGGTCCTTCACTCATCATCACTCCACACTGCCGATAAGGAGGACAGGTACCATTCTACCATTTTACACAAGAGAAATGAAAGCACCAAGGAGCCAAGACACTCGCAGGCCCCTTTGCATATGCAAAGCTCAGGTTGTAAATAGCCCACTCGTGTGTCCTGTCTTGTGTATGTGCAAGGCAGTCTCAGAGGAACCCATGCTCCAGGAATATTGACCCTTAAAAATAGCTGAATAACCAATTTTTCGTTTTAAGTCTGGTAATTTCTAACTCCTCCCTAACCACTTATCCTTTTCTCTCCAAGTCCTGAGAAGCTCACCTTGGTTGCTGATAACTTCAAAGGAATTGGCTGTAGAGACAATACCAGTCGGGTTGGGAGCTGCAGGACCCGGAGAATCAGTAAAAATATCTATAACGAAAAAGAATAACACATTTGTCCTATGAAAAGATTTAGAGATTTAATTAATTCAATGTTGTTTGTTGTAGTGCTTGTTTATAACAGGGAAAAGTAAAAAAAACAAAAAACAAAAAAAAACCAACCAAGCTGTCTAAAAATAGGAGGCTGGAGGAACCCTTGACACTATTAAAAATAATACTGCAGAGATTTATCTTTGTAGAAAAATGGGAACATGATCACCGTATATTAAAGGAAAAGAGAAGTTAGTGTTTTAATGTGTAATGTTAATTTTTGTAAGAAAACAATCGTATATAAATATAAACATATATGTGCATTTGGAAAAGGGTCCATATATTGGGTTATGAGTGTTTTACATGTGTTTCCTTTTTCAGCTTAGCTATCTTCTGATTTTTCTGTATTCAACATGTTATGTCTATGATTAAAATAAAATAATATCACTTGGAGAAGAAAATATAGAAAACATCATTATCATCAGATGCCCAAAGTCTATTCTCTATATACCATTTTGCCCACAATGAATCTTTTAACTGGAGGCAACAGTTCTAAACATTCTGTAAACTTGTAAGGATGGGAGCCTCCTCAGGGGAATTAACCTCCAACACAGCAACAGTGAGAAAACACCTCAATGAGATCTTATACAGATCTCAGGGTCCCAATGTTTCTGATGAATTCCTGTAATACCCGACTGAGAAAACCAGGGGTGAAAATCAGGAACAGGAAGGCAGGTTTTCTGTGAAAAGCCATGTTACATTTAAAAAATAGTTGCCTCTGCCTTGTTTCTTCTCAAGTTAAAAACAGGGGAGATAAGAAAACATCAAAGAAACCCAAACTGAGGGACAAGCTACAAAATTCCTGAGCAGTACTCTTCAAAAACATCAGGGTAATGAAAGACAAGGGAAGACTGAGAAACTGTCACAGGTTGGAGAGAACAAGGAGGGATCCTAGAACAGAAAAAGGGCATTAATGGAAAAACTTGAGGGCCGGCCGAGTGGCACGTTGCTTAAGAGTTGGCTTGGGATGCCAGCTCTGATAAGCAAGACCCTGGTTTGGAGCCCACCTGAGGGCCAGTGACACTGCGCCCTTTACAGCTAAGATGGTGAACAACAGCTAGACCTGGAGCCGACTTGCCGTGAGTCGCCGGCGACGGCGTAGGCTGCAGTGGGGCTGGCTGGCAGCTGGCGTGAGCTTTCGTGAGCTGCCATGAGCCACCGTGAGCGGCCGTCCAATGCCGGCGCGCGACCGATCTGCCTCACCCGGGAAGAGCGCAATAATACCAACATGGGCCAGTGAAGCGA